GTTTGGTTTGTTTTCCCCATAGGAACTCCTCCCCGACACAGTGCTTGCCACATTTGCCTTCAAACGACCGCCCCTCTGCTGCGATGTCCTCCTCTTTCCTTAGTACTTCACAAACCCGGTTTACATGCCAACCTAAGTCACTTAGATCTGCCAGAGTATCAGTCATCACAAAAAGATCTTGTCCCATAAGGAGGCTTGAGAATGCCACTAGCTTGCCACACTAGTCCTGAGGTCTCTGCTAAGTCAGCCCTAACTCACCTCTCCATTAGATGCAGTCCCATCTGGCCTGGTGAACCAGCATCCAACACGACCTCTCTCACTCCCAGTTCCTTAGTCCTCCGAATGATTTATACCTCATTCTGTTTCTCCCCATCGTCTAACTCTTCCCATTGGTTCCATGTTTTGGATTCCCTGAGGGCTTCTTCAGGACAGGTCTTGTACTCTTTGCCTTACGACTCCCAGGAGCTGTAGGAAACAGAAAGCCGAGATGCCTCATCCTTCTCATCCATTTTCCCTGCTACATCAGAGGCGAGTGTAGGAGATGCCTCCCACTTGTCTGTTTCTTATTGTAATTCCTTCCTTACATGGGCATGCTCCCTATGGGTGGATAGCTCAACCTGCAATACTACATACCCATCTCAGGGGCCATGTGACTGCCACCATAGCTTCCTGGCAATCTCATTTCATACATGCTTCTTTCAGGGACTGAGATACACTTTTCAGTCCTTCCATCTCTGTTTCATAGGTTGGCTCCTCATCATGGGGGGTCACTGCTCTGAACCACATTAAAAGAGAGGGTGGCCCTAGGAGCCACCCGCAGATTTCCCACTTTCAGATGGCTCAGCCTCAGCTGCGTGTCTTACTAACCATAAGCAGACATGCAACCTCTGCTCCCAGACTCATCCTTGGCTCTGTCCTGTCCCAGTCCAGCTATCGATTTGTTGTGTAATGTAAAATGTAAAGAAAATGTAAAGAAACATCTCTCTTCCCTGGATAGACAACTGACACATCAAGGAAATAATTTTGTCCGGGTCTGGTTTGGTGAGCCAGTTAGTTTATTGGGGCTATTTATAGGCGCATGGATGACGGGTTACTTATGGAACATGATGACTCAGAAGCAGCTGCCTCACCATAAAGCCTCATTCCATCATGGGTGATGAGTGAAGGCTGCAGCCCTGGTGTCCCAGCTGCTGGTGAATCTCGGCTGAGGGCCTGGCAACATTTCCCTCCCCCGACTGTGTAAGGGAATGTGAACAGCTCTGTTATGACCGCAGTAGACCTAGTTATCCCTGTACTTCTCCGTGCATTTTGTTGCCATAACTACGGTGCCAAGGTAGTCTGAAGGCCAATGCTTGTTGAGGCCTGAATGAAATAGTTCCACTATAACAAGACCCTTGATGACCCTGTCTGCTACTGATGGGACCCTCATCCATTGCTGTCTTGGCAGCAGAGCCCTGGTGACCCTTGTGTACTTCTGCCCCAACAGCAGAGCCCTGGTGACCCTTGTGCCGGCCATCCTGACAGCTTCATCACTGGTAGCAATCTAGCAACATCTGCTCTGGTGAGACAGTGGCTCCTGCTGTCTGATCACGGTTTTGCAGGCAGGTCTAGATCTTCACCAGGGCTTCCCCTACCAGCTGGGCACTCCACTTCCTGCTCAGCAGCATTGTTCTGAAGCCAGCGACTTGGAAGACACACAAGACCGTGTCTCCACTCATGAGGCTTGAGCAGCTTCAGCAGGAGGTGTCCTGGAGCTGAGACTCAGGCACTGGGCGGGGGCGGGGGGGGGGGGGAATGGGGCTTTGGAAATGGGAGAGTGAGCAGGACTCTACAGGAGTGTTCCTGGAAATTTGGGGGTCCCCCTACAGTTGTCACATATTATTGGGGGAAATTAGGCTCCTCTCTTGGGGTTCTCAGTCTCATTAATAAAAGAAATTTAAGAATGGACTCAAAGGGAAACTCTGGGACAATTTTCATTAGAATTTAAAATAAAAACCCCAGGACAGGCAAACTAAATCTCAGTAGCTGCCTCAAGGAGATGAAGAGGAAGAGAAATTCCACTTGAGCTAAGCTGGCATGAAGGTCGACTATGTGCCAGACAAAGAGACGTGTGGTAGGGAAGAGGGGCTCGGAGGCAGAGAAAGGAAACCCAGAATTACAGGGAAAGAGGCAGAAGAAAGGGGAAACGGCAACTTTCTGAGTTGGAGAGACCCAACAGGACCTCTTGGCCATGCTTAGCAGCTACACAGGGGCAGGAATACTGATGAGGGAAGTTCATCATTTCATTAACTCTTCTGTGGTTTAAGGCAGGTAGACCTTCCTTGGGTGGCCCCACTTTCCCTACTGGCTGTCTCTTAGCCAGGTGAGACTGGCCCGGTTGGATTAACTCTTTTATGTTTAGGGAAGTTTGGAATGCACAGGCCAGGGAAATAGCTTTCCTGCTGAGTCTCCACAGAGCCATGATCAAGGCCCCTGTATCAGAAGGACCTGCAGTGAGGAAGAGGAGGGACCCAGATGTCTTGGGGATAGACATCTGTCTTTCTAAAGCATCATATCCAAGGCCTGGAGCAGAGAGCCTAGCCACACCCCATCACAGTAGGAGGGCATTGTGCTGCCCCTCCTGACTGACAGGTGCTGTCCCTCCTGACTGACAGGTGCTGCCCCTGCTGACAGACAGGAGCTGCCCCTGCTGACAGACAGGTGCTGCCCCTGCTGACTGACAGGTGCTGTCCCTCCTGACTGACAGGTGTTGCCCCTGCTGACTGACAGGGGCTGTCCCTCCTGACTGACAGGGGCTGCCCCTCCTGACAGGTGCTGTCCCTCCTGACTGACAGGTGCTGCCCCTCCTGACTGACAGGTGCTGCCCCTGCTGACTGACAGGGCTGTCCCTCCTGACTGACAGGGGCTGCCCCTCCTGACTGACAGGTGCTGCCCCTGCTGACTGACAGGGGCTGCCCCTCCTGACTGACAGGGGCTGCCCCTCCTGACAGGTGCTGTCCCTCCTGACTGACAGGTGCTGTCCCTCCTGACTGACAGGTGCTGTCCCTCCTGACTGACAGGGGCTGTCCCTCCTGACTGACAGGTGCTGCCCCTCCTGACTGACAGGTGCTGTCCCTCCTGACTGACAGGGGCTGTCCCTCCTGACTGACAGGTGCTGTCCCTCCTGACTGACAGGTGCTGTCCCTCCTGACTGACAGGTGCTGTCCCTCCTGACTGACAGGGGCTGCCCCTCCTGACAGGTGCTGTCCCTCCTGGCTGACAGGTGCTGTCCCTCCTGACAGGTGCTGTCCCTCCTGACTGACAGGTGCTGCCCCTCCTGACAGGTGCTGTCCCTCCTGACTGACAGGTGCTGTCCCTTCTGACAGGTGCTGTCCCTCCTGGCTGACAGGTGCTGTCCCTCCTGACAGGTGCTGTCCCTCCTGACTGACAGGTGCTGCCCCTCCTGACAGGTGCTGTCCCTCCTGGCTGACAGGGGCTGTCCCTCCTGACAGGTGCTGTCTCTCCTGACTGACAAGGGCTGTCCCTCCTGACTGACAGGGGCTGTCCCTCCTGACTGACAGGTGCTGCCCCTCCTGGCTGACAGGTGCTGCCCCTCCTGACTGACAGGTGCTGTCCCTCCTGACAGGTGCTGTCTCTCCTGACTGACAGGTGCTGCCCCTCCTGACTGACAGGTGCTGTCTCTCCTGACTGACAGGTGCTGTCCCTCCTGACTGACAGGTGCTGCCCCTCCTGACTGACAGGGGCTGTCCGTCCTGACTGACAAGGGCTGTCCCTCCTGACTGACAGGGGCTGCCCCTCCTGACTGACAGGGGCTGCCCCTCCTGACAGGTGCTGCCCCTCCTGACTGACAGGTGCTGCCCCGTCCCGACCAGATGTGTTTTCCTTCCTGAATAGTTAGCAGAAGGTGAGGAACGCACATTCTAACTCACATTTCCACACGGATCCCAAAGCATCAGCATTCCAGACTCCGCAGCATGGAGCCACAGGACGCCACAGCCTTATCACAGTGTGTCAGGACAGGAGGCCCCTGGGGAGCACAGAAGTCCAAAGGATGCTCCAAGAGATGGATCCTCTTGAGGACGGAGGACAAGGGTCCCAGCAAGGGGAGGGGAGAGAGGAAGAGGTCAGCAGTCAGCCACACGTCCCCAGGGCTGCTGACGTTCCCTGGTCCGGGGTGCTCACTCTGAAGAGAAGACAATCCAGACAAAAGGAAACCATGTGCAGGAGAGGAGAGTTCTCCAGAGGTCTCTCTCGGGAAGGTAAAAAATGCAAGAGCAGCAAGGCCCCTGGCCATGCCAGCTTGTGGCTTTCCACACAGAATGCATCCTTGCAGGGACCAGCTCTAGCTGTCTGCACTATGCATGTCTTCATGCACACACACGTGTGTGTGAGAGAGGCAGAAACAGGTGGAGAGAATTTCTCAGTGTCATGGAGCATTGCCTCGGTGTGCAGAAGGAGTGTAAGCACCTGTCTACACGCGGCAGCAGACAGCAGATGACATCCATGGGTGTTGTTGGCTGGCTTAGGTCTGCCTTCTTCACACTCCTGCTTGTGTGAACTGCAAGATGCCAGGTGCATAGAGACTTCTGTGCCACACTCTTGAGACAGCAATGCCATTTGAGGTCTGCCCATCTCTTCAGGAAGAGTCGGCTGTGGTGTCTTTTGTGGTAGGTTGAGGGATTTTTCAGTAGAAAAGGGTCCATGTTCAACTTGGATGGTGGTCTGGCTTTGCTTCCACCCTCAGTGGGGCCTGCCATCTCGATCATGTTATACACTCAGCCTGCGCAGCTGGGACTGGAGAGGGGATGAGCTTCCCTGACTTCCTCTCTAGTGTATAGTCTGGGAAGGTTAGGGGCAAAGAAGGTCTTGGCGTATTTATAGGCTAAAAACGTGATTCTTCATCTGCAGCCATGCTAAAACAGAGGCTGCCTGTGGCTTGCAGGCCACACCATGACCAGCCTCCTGTCTTTTCGTGCCTCCTCTTCTCCTTTTTACCTCAGCAAGGAGAGGAAGAACCATGGTACCTCCCCAATACCATGGGAGGGAAAAGGGTGCATCGTGCCTCCTGAGAAGCCCTGGACTGAGTTCTGAGTGAGAAAAGGAAGCTCCTGAACCCTGATGCCTCTTTCACCAGGTGAACAAGGGAATGGAGAATGGGGTCCTTCCTCGTCAGACTGTTGGAGAAGTCTTGTGGTTGATATGGCAGTCTAGTGTGTGCTTGGCTTTGTGTATCTGTGAGCCATGAAGTGACTTTATGTGGACAATCTGTTGTTTACTTCATGTGAATCTATGTCCATACAGACCTTACATGGTGCATCTGGGCAAATATGAAAAAAAAAACACCAAACCTGTCTCCGTAGAATCTCCTGCCCCCAAGGATGGGAAATTTCTAAAATTTGGGTATTCTGTTGCATTCTTATACGGAGATTAAGGGACAGAAACTGCATTCTAGAACCTGAGGATATATCTGTATACATCATAGAACATATCTACATACATTTGGGGCCCTGTTTGTGGGGATCTGAAGCCACATCTACAGGGGTCTGAGGTTATAAATAACTTTTACTTGGAGCTGAAGTTGTATCTACCTACGAGGGAACACATACATGGACCCGAGGCTGTACCTACGTGGCCCCATGGACTCCTATAGATGGATGAGGGAAATATGACTCCTGAGATGCTACCATTAACATAATGTGAGCTGTCCTCTCCACCCCCAAGTACAGGGCTTGAATCAAGGTCCTCACACATGCCAGGCAATCACACTAGCACCGAGATACCAACTTGTTTTTTTTTTCTTTTTAATTTTATTTACCATTTATCTTTATTTATGTGGATGTGGGCATGCATGTTTATCCATTTTTATACCATGTGCATATAGTGATCTTGGAGGCCAGAAGAGAATATCAGATCCCATGTTGGTGCTGGGAACCAAACCTGGGCACTGTGAGAACAGTGAGTGCTTTTAACTACTGAGCCATCTCTTTGGTCCCCCGCCACCCCCCTTTTTCTTTTCATTGAGACAGGGTCTCACTAAGTCCCTGCTGGTTTCACACTCATTCAACAGCCCAGGCAGACCTTGAATTTGCAATCTTCTTCCCTAAGTGTTTTGAATAGCTGAGATTAGTCATTTACCACTAGGCCCTGTTGGTTTTAGGTATGTTCCTAACTGGAGGAAGGAGGTGATCAGTGACCAGATTTCAAGACTTTTTAAAAGGAAGGGAGACATCTGCCACCCCCTTCCTTCCCCGGTGGGTGTTAAATGCCCCATTTCCAAATTATGCTACAAATTGCAGGAAGTTCTGTGGGAATATAATATAATATAATGTATATTATATATTATATAACAGCAACTGTCCTAGATTAATCGTGCTTCTATAACAAAATACTTGACCTTGTAATTTGCAAATATTTGGAAGCCATTTCTCACAGTGGTTAGCATCTAGGAAGCCCAAGGTCTGGTGGTCAGCCAGGCAGATTTAGTGTTTTCTGTTTCCAAGATGGCGCCTTGTTAATGTGTTCCCACATGACAGCAGGTAGAACAGCCACTAAATGAACAAAGCAAAAGCCAGAAAAGCCAGAGAACTCTGAAGCTTCTCTGACAAGGTTAGTCACATGCGAGTGGGTGGAACCCTCATGGGCTGGTCACCTCCCAAAGGTCCTCATCTCAATACCATCACTTTAGGGTCTTTGTTACAGTATATGAATTTTGAGAACACGCACACACACACATGCACACACACACACATATGCACTCACACATACACATGTGCACACACACATATGCACTCACACATACACATGTACACTCACACATACACATGTACACACACATGCACTCACACATACACATGTGCACTCACACATACACATGTGCACACACACACACATACACACACACACACACACACACACACACACACACACACACACACACACTCAAAACAGCATCCTGCCCCACCCTTCACCAAATGCTTGTTCCTCTCACTGGCAGAACGCATTCCATCTCAATCACTCCACAATCTAAATTCTAGGGGAAAGTCTTACATCAAATATTTTCGAGTCTCACCTCATCACATGTAGGCGGGACTGGAAGGTATTTTTTTTCCATCCATCTTGTTGAACCAATGAACTTTGTTGGGGTTACTTACAGGAATATGGGGAAGGGGTTTCTTACTGCAGCTGAAAGTACTAAAAGACAGTTGCCATTACGAAACTCCAAACTAGCGTGGCGTGTGCCTTATGAAAGCTGTACACTCAGCATTCGGCACACCTACAGGCATGTCTACAGGACAAGGACCATCCTGTCTTGGTGGCTCAGTTTGTCAAAGCCTCCTCTAAGTAGCAGGAGTGATCTGGGTTTTGAAGGTATGTTTTATATTGAGACAAATTCCCCGTGAGCTGTAGGTAGGCGTGATCAAACATGTCACAACAGTGGTGCAGACACAGGACAGACATTGCTGTTCCAAGGGGGAGGAAAGAGGAAGGAGAGAGAGAAGGAAGGAGGAAAGGGAAAGATTTCGACTCCTAAGAATCAAAAGTCACCTTCTTTGTCCTCATGCTCTAGAGCCTCTCTCTCTCTCTCTGTGTGTGTGTGTGTGTGTGTGTGTGTGTGTGTGTGTGTGTGTGTGTGTGTGTATGTGTGTTGGAGCATCACATCTCTGTGGCTTTGCCATGTGAGGATTGCATACCAAGGCACAGGGCAGCCCTGCATCTATGGCCTTGAGCAAGTCAATCTGTCATGGCTGTCATAGACGTGGGCCTAGAGGACTTTCTGCAGTGGCTTTATCCCTGTGCTGATTCCCTGCCTGGGTTCCATGACTCTTTGGGGCATCTTGAAATACAGCGGGAGGTTCCAAGCCCCTGTACTTTGCTGCACAAACTATGTGCCATAACTTCCACAAGTGTCTGCCAGCATTGCACCTGCCTAGAGCTCCAGGAACTCCATGATTCAGTTGGGGAGCGACATTGGCCCTGGGCAGCCACAGCTCTTCTTTCAGTTTGCTCTACCCTGCTCCTGGGCCTTGCACTCTGATGGTTCAGACTTGATGAACTCCAAAATGCCTTGGGAGTCTCTCTTCTATTGGTTTTGGATGACAGGTCCTGGCTCCTATTTAGATGGACAAGGCATACTAATCTCCATGTCAAGTGTTCACTTGTCCATATCTATTCCTGCTGTCTCCCAAATGGCTTCTCTCAAATTTCCCAACTTGGATTGGCTGAGAAATACTTAAAAAATGAAGTCCTATTTGTCTTTTGATATACAATTCTGTTTTTACATCTTTTCATGTTTTACATTTTATTCTATAGAATAAATACGTTATCTAGTTTTCTCAGCCAAGTATTCAATTTAATCAGTCTCAGGTTCTATCTTCTACAATCATCAACATGGTTTGGCCAGGGTGTTTGCCTCAATCCAATATTGTGCTCCTAGCTACCAGCTTCGACCTGATGCCTCATCAGAATATTCTCTCCACTCTTATTACTACTAACCCCTCCCCCACAACCACTTACATGTTCTCTAAGGAAGCTGACATTTTCTCCATGGCTCCCCCTCCCATCCCCTCCCTGAGCCCTCAAGAGTAATCATCCAATAATCGTCTATGGATTTTTCATGGAACATGTCTCCAAATTCCCCTACTCCATATACCCATCACTCAGTTCCAAAGCTGTCTCCATGGCTTTAGGTATTTACTGCAGCAAGACCCCATTCTTGTCTCATTCTGTGTGGATTTTTATGGCTAATTGCCATAGACCAAATGGCTTATAAATGACAGAAGTTTATTTATTATAGTTCTGGTGGGCAGGAAGTTTAGGATAGAGATCTGGTATATTCTGGAGAAGAATCCTTGTGTGCCTTATCAATGTCTTCTCATGTTCTTATATAACAGATGGGGCGAGAGCTTTCTTGGCCCCTTTTTATAAATAAACTAATCTCCTTCAGGAGGGTCTGCTCTTATGATATAACATATATCAAAAAGGTCTGTTCCACCTGCTCCTCTGAACACTATTACCTATGGGTTAGGATCCTAATACAGGGATGTTTGGAGGTGAACACAGTGGCCATTCTCATAAACAAGTTTAGCTTGAGATTGGGGTAGCCATATGCTCTTCTGATATTCATGCTGTTGCAAATCCACTTGGCTTTCTTGGGAATAAGTTTGATCTGTCATTGACCATGTCCTTAAAGTACTTAGTTTCCCTGTGAATGTGGGCTGCTGGAGAGATACTTTGGCCTTGGCATCCTCTTGCTGATTTCAAGTGGTTTTGCTCAAAAAAAAAAAAAAAAAAAAAAAAAAAAGGCTTGATGTTAAATGCTGGCCTACGTAGACCTGAGTGACAGGGTAGATCAAAGGGTCCAGTGAGCACATTTCTACTGCTGCGGCATGTCTGTGGCATTGCATTTGCAAGGACAATTTGGCATTTAGACAGCTCAGGGCCTTGAAGACTTTACCTTCTGTAGCATGTCATGCTAAGAACAGGTGAAGTTGGGGTTTCAGGACAGGCAAACTGGAACTGGAGGTTTCTGTCCTGCCAACAACTCCCAAATACCCAGCAGCTGCTTCCCAAATGATCACACAGAGGCTTATATTAATCATAAATGCTTGGCCGGTAGCTCAGGATTTTTACTGACTAGCTCTTACACTTGAATTACCCCATAATTCTTATCTATGTTTAGTCACATGGCTTGGTACCTTTTTCTCATTCTAGTATTCTCATCTTGCTTCCTTTGTGTCTGCTGGTGACTCTTGACTCTGCCCTTTCTCTTCCCAGCATTCTTAGTTTGGTCACCCTGCCTATACTTTCTGCTCGCCTACTGGCCAATCAGTGTTTTATTAAACCAACTTGAACGACAAATCTTTACAGTGTACAAGAGGATTAATCTCACAGCAGCGAATATCATGTTCAAATCCAAGGCAGAACATGACATAGATTTTGGCTGATGTCCACTGGGGTTTCCCCTTCCCATATACTTCCTCGGACCTGCTTGAGGCATCAAGTAGCTGTGGTTTCACATACCACAGATAGCCCAGGCAGGCCTGAGTGGACCTGTCTATGGGAGTACACCCAAATCCATCCCTCAGTGTTCCCCGTTCCAGCCTCTAGCAGCCCTATAGTTCACAACCGCTCTGGACCAAGCAGTAAATTCAGGGGAATTAGAAATCAAGAGAACCTTTGCAGCGAACATAGTTGTCTTCTCACTCTATATACAATGGTACCAGCTGGCCACTGCCAGGTGGCTCCACATATGTCTGTGGCCTGTCTTACAGGAGTTGACTCATTGTGAGACTTCAAAGAAATGCTCACAAGGTCAACAGGGAATGATGGGACTCAGTTTGTGGTGTGAGAAGCAGGTACATTTTACTAGACACTGACTTAAGTGACGAGGACCACATTGCTGACCTCTGTCATGCAATCCTCATCCCTCTTAGGGAGCACACTGGCAGCAGCTAGTAATGATCGGTCACAGCAAAGCCAGTGTATCTTGAAGTCTAAATCTCATGCTATCCATGGTTTCTCTCTGGAGCTCCTGGAGGCCACACTAGTGTCAGAACTGCTCTGTGCAAAAGCTGACAGCTGGCCACCTGCCCAGGGTATACCAGTAGCCCCATGGCCAGGACCAAGTCTTTTCCTGAGTAACTCTTAGGTTTCAGGTCAATGCCTCTCAGTACAGGAGTAAGCCAGGATGAGTTAGAGTGTCCTCTAGAGGTAGTGAGGTTGGCAGGCCACACCTTTCCTAGGTGCAGGGTTTAGTAATGGGTCTGCTGCCCTGTGCTTATTCTGACAAGGTCCTTGCCCATTCCAACTTGGCCCACACCCGCCCAGCACCATCTGCCTGCTCCCGGCTGGCACTCTTCAGCTTCACAGCACTGCAATGAGTTTGGAAAGCTGGAGCCTGGCTTAGCAGAGGGTGAATCTGAAATTCTTCCTCTGCCTGCACCCCACCCCCCCAGGCCCCCACTCCCTCTCTCCTCGCTCCCCTCCACAACCAATTTATCTGCCAGTCCAGCCTCCAAGCAGAGCTGGGGCCAAGTTGGCTGCTTGCCCATGCTTATCAGACTCTGTGACCAGATGGCAGGAGAGCAGCCCATGGCAGGCAGGACAGGGCTGGGAAGTCCCTGTGTTCAGAGAATGCTCACTGGGGAGGCAGAAGGCCAGAAGGTTCTCCAAGCTGCGAAGGAGGTAAGGGGGAGAGGGACGCTTTTATTCCCGAGGGAGTCAATGGGTGGTGTGGAGTACGTCTGTGTGTAAACATGTGTATGTGCACCCTTATGTAATTGTACACACGGGGGTGTGTACATGGTCCATGTACTTTTGCACATGCAGGTATGCACACGTGTGTATATGCCTGGTGTTCTGGAGAAAGAGTGGGAGGTGGCACTGGACATGTCCTGTGTGTCTGAAGTCCTAGAAGGTGTCTCACTTGTGCTCTGACCTGTCACTGGTGTGCCCAGTCTGCTCCATGCTTGGCTGCTTGTCCTGCTGCAGCCAGCTGTACTGGCTACATTGGAGGCTGCACAGCCTAAGCTGAGGCCAGCTTCCTAGTTGGGGGTGGCTCTCAGCTGCTGGCCAGAGGCAGCAATTCACCCATTCCTGATTCTGCAGGTGTCACTCTCTAAGCCCACACCTCTGGAAGATGGGGCACCACGAAAACTGAGAAGAGGTTTGTAGTGCAAAGAAGAAAGATTGTTTGAGGTCACTCACAGCAGACCCATTGAGCTTCCTCCTAGCTGGCTTTCATGGGATTAGGTGAGGGAAGACCGGCTTCCTGGTCTTCCTGGTACCAGCTCACCCTACCCTATTGATGGTTCCAACCCCCAGAGTCTGTTCACATCCTTCCTACCAAGCACCAATCCCTGGGTGGCTTTAGCCTCTCCCTGGTAGACATCCCATCTTTGCCTGGAGCTCTGCTTTCTGTCCAGAGCTCTCAGGCTGCACCCACTGCTTCCCAAGGCCTCTGTGCTGTACACTGCTGCAGACTCACAGAACATTCAAAACCTGCAGCCTGGGGCAGTTTGTGACTTTCTCCCTAATGGTACCTGCATCATCAACTGTATCTATATTCATCCTCTTGAGGCCTAACTCCCCACCCCCCCACCCCACTGCCAGTCTAAACTAGAATATAAGCAAGCTTTCACCACTGCTTGTGGTCACCTACACCCCATCCTCAGGTCTCCTACAGTCAGGGTCTGGAATTCTGGTTTTACTCATCTCTGACTCTTTAGGAACCACACTTCTTCCACTCTCCAAACTGTTCCAGGTAGGGACTTCTTACTGTAAAGAGAGAATCCTTCCAGCGTACTCCGTAACCTCAGGAAACACCATATTCCAGGGCCTCCCAGGCCACTCTCTGACTTCTCCACAATGCCTACCTGCTTCCATCATAGCATGCTACCTCCTCCTATGTGGTCCAAACAAACAGGCCAGAACCCACATTCAGTCCTGCCAGGTTCCCACTGAACCTCTAATGCAGCCTCAGCCCTTCACTGTTGTGTGATATTTTGTGTTCTGAAAAATAAAGCTGCCTGGAGATCAGAGGGTGGAGCTAGCCACCAGTTAACCATAGGAGCCAGGTGGTGGTTGTGCACACCTTTAATCCCAGCATGTGGGAGGAGGAAACCGGAAGATCAAGGCCATCCTGGGCTACACGAGATTGAACCATTCTAAAAGAGCAACAGAGCCTGGGGTTGGTGGTGCATGCCTTTAATCCCAGCAGCAGGGAGATGGAGACAGGAATATGAGGTGGGTGGAGACAGAATCTTGGCCCACCAGTCGGTCTGAGGATTTGTAGAGGTAAGAAGTCTCTAGTGGCTGCTGCTCTGCTTCTCTGATCTTTCAGCTTTCGCCCTGATATCTGACTCCAGGTTTTTATTGTTAAAACCCATTAGGATCACACTTCACTTCATCATATTCTAGTCTTGCACACTATGGCCAGGACCCTTCCTTGACCTTTTTGGGATCAAAATCGTCTTATGTTATCCCCATCCTGTTCTTTTGGGGGTTATGCACAAGGCATTTGTATTGTGGTCACAAAAGGATGTGCACACTGTCATCCTTCCACCTCATTCACACAGGCCACACTTGCCCCTCATCTTACTCGAGGCTCTGGCTGGTCACAGAATTTCCCTATTCTCCCTGTCCTGTCTCTGACCAGTGAACCTCCTGCTTTGTCTTAGGCATCACACAGTATCCCTCTTCCTCAAAGTGATAGTCCTTGATGTTAGTGCTTATGCATGTCTCTCCTGTCCCCCTCCTCCCAGGTGGGATTTGTTCTCTGCTCCACTGTAACCAGCTGCTGGTATGAACATGCTTGGCCTTGAACTCAGGTCTGTTTCCCCCTGAACTTAATTTGCCTTCGAATTTCTCTTACCTTGATGTACGCACAGATTTTACATGTTATAGTCAATGCAGATTCCAATTGCATCGATGTGGGCCAGAGCCTGGGAATCTTCATTCCCAAGAAGTAAATCACTGTGGGAGAGCAGACATTTTGGCCCTCCTAGACAGGGGCACATGGTCAGTGATGCTGTCACAGGACACCTAGATGATTTACATGAGCAGAGACTCACATCTCATGGTCTAGGAATGATGACGGTGAAGGCTTTCTCACTGTATGGCAGTGGGCAGGGATAGATGAGATGAGTGCTGTGCTCTCTTGGGGCATAGTGAAAGAGAGTAAGCCAACTCCTACAAGCCTTTCTCCCAGTGGCCACCCTATGGTGAGACATAATGGCCTGAGTTGCTTTAGCCCACATCCCAACAGTAATATATGGAGAGGGCTTCTACTTGAAAGTGGAAGGAGTGGACACATTTAAATCATAGCAGACTACCCACTTGCCTTCCCCTGATGCACTGGGAGCTAGGAGTCAGAGTCCTGCGATTCTAAATTATCTTCAGCAGGGCTACCTTTTCCCTAAAGCAGATGCTGTCCCTTCTGGAGAGGGTGAGGAGGCCCATACCTGACTGTGGCTAGTCTCATTTCTCATTTCTCATTTCTCATTTCTCATTTCTCTCTCTCTCTCTCTCTCTCTCTCTCTCTCTCTCTCTCTCTCTCTCTCTTCTCTCTCTCTCTCTCTCTCTCTCTCTCTCTCTCTCTCTCTCTCTCTCTCTCTTTCTCTGTGTATAGTTATTTGTAGGGGTAGGTTGTGAGTGCACATGCTGTGTTTCTGTTCATGGAAACTTAGGAATCATGAGTTGAGCAGTGACTGTCATCCTAGGGTTTCTCCAACAGCTCTGCCTTCCCATTTGCCTTCTGACCAGTCTTTATAGCATTCTTATCTGCTCATTCATTTGTGGAATGTCTATGCAGCATGGGCAGAAAGCTTGGGCCCTGTCAGTGCTGCAGGCACAATCATGTAGGTGAACAAATAGCTTTGCATGATGGTGAAACCATGCACATACACACTGTATAACCTCCCACCCCCCAAGATAGTCACACACCCAGGTCCCAGAGTCAGCAAAATTTAACTGAGATATCCAGGTCTGATGTACAGCAGTTAGCAAAGAGATGACATCAGCCTTACTGTCATGCAGAGAGGATCCCAGGGCCCAGGATCCACTGGCCACTGAGGCAGCAGAGGGGTAGGGCAAGTCAAGATCTGTCTAAACATAAAGAAATAGGAGAGGAAAGGAAGGGGGAGGAGGGAAGTGGGGGAGAGGAGAGGAGAAGATGGAGGGGGAGGGATAAACATAGGACCTGGGCCAGATGAGAATCATCCCCATCCCCTAATATTCTTTAACTTGGTGTCCAGTAAGGATACTGGCTTTTGAATTATGACTTCTGCTTCCTGGCTAATTGTCTCAGGTCAATTCAATCTGCTACACAGTGTGTGTAGACTCATTACAATGTTTTTCTCCTTTCTCTATATGCTCCCTCCCCCATTACAGGTACAGTCTGAGGCAGGCTTGCTGCTACTTCTTCAGGCTCCCAACATCAAGGTTGTGCTGAGCTGCCCCAGCTCAGTGGACACTGCCAGGGGCACTCAGTCCTTGGTGCCTAGGTGTGTTCCCTAGAAGTTCTCCTCACTCCCCTCTTCCTCTCCCTCCCTCCCTCCCATCTCTCCCTCCCTCTTCTCTCTCTCCTTATTTAATCTCCCTCAGACACTAGAGACCCTGAGGCTCCTTCCAGGTGTGCTCTCTGGAAGAGGCAGGTTTTTCCCAGTGACATCTGAATGATCATCCCTGGTGTGGCCCTGGAGCCCCTCCATTGCCTTGTGTCCTTCAGGCCACCATCAGCCACTTACTTCCACGTGGAGTGGAATGGCCCAGTTTTCTTCTCAACAACTCTAAACAACAAAAGTCTTCAAGTCTCTAACAGACATTCACGGGGCACCGTCTAAAACAGACACGAGGCTCTGCTGCAATGAAGGCCAAACACTATGGTAATACCACAGATGTGGACGGCCAACATGTCTGTCACCGTCTCTTAGAGCTGATGTTGCCCAAGAGGGAAACCAGGTACTCTCCAGATTAGTGTCTAAGTTTAGCAGACAGGTGCAGAGCTCTGAACGAAATGCTTTGAGAATGATCTCTAATGTTTCATTGAACAACCATGGATTCCATCAGAGAATGGGGATTTTATGTTTCTGTACTGCTTGGATGAGCCAGGGGACATTAGTCAAGCCCTGTGTGACAGATGCTATAAGGGAGAGATTGTGAGCCTCCACAGGAGTGGCATCCCTCATGCACAGAAGTAGGGTGGAGGCTTGGCTGCTGGGAGCAGCATCTCTGTCTCCATGGAGTTGAGCTCTGTGGACAGTCGGACATACGCCTGGGGCTGAACACGTCTGCTTCTAGGCTGTGCCAGCCTCACACTGTGGAGAGCAGCTGCCCAACTCCTGTTCTTAGATGTGGGTAGAATGTGAATCTGCCGAGCTCTCACAGATTAAAAAAAGAAACCCAGGCTGCTTTTATGTCTGTTGGAGGCAGGCTGCATTCTGGGAGCTTGGTGCTTGGTACTCACAATCCAAGAAGTGTCCCAGACTGACTGCTGGCTTGGTGTTCATCATTTCAAGGCAAGGGGAGCTTTGGAGACTTGGGGAACACAGAACTGAGTCCAATAAAGCAAAGGGACTGGGCAAGGAAAACAGAATTGAGTCTTGTGTCTCCCTGAGCCACAGCTGTGGAAAGCCCACTCCTGCTCTAAAGATGTATGTGGAGATGGGAACTATGGGGACAGTGCTGTCCGTGTGTCTAGGAAGTGAAAAAAGCAGGAACGGGCAGACTAAGGCATGGTGCTTGTTGGGAAGAACGGTGTCCTGGAGAGATTGGCATTTCTGCCTCTTTGTGAGCATCTGGCAGGAACAGAATACTCAGTCAGGTAGAGGTGGAGGAGGGGGGGAGTTTATTCTTACCAGGTGCTGTGAAATCAGCTGAAGTTGGTAATTCCCAGTCTTCCCTTCTGTTTCCAGCTACTGTCATCTCTGTGGAAGGAGTGGGTTGAGGTGGACTGTGGACATAATAGCAGTGGACGTTTGGAGTGTATATCCTCTTCTTGGGCATCAGTCCGTCTCATCCTGCAAATCTGCACGCAGAAAATACAGGTGTGTGACTGCAAGGTCAGTCAAGGACAGACAACCTTCTGGTTTAGTGAGGGCACACCTATAAGCCGTTTGTTGAGGTACCTGACATGTGCCACACCCTGGGGAGAGGCTGCTGCTGCTGTCCTCTGCTGAGCTTGGGTTTGGTCAGTCGGGTCCATTGTGTGGGGTCTGTTGTTTGGGGCTGTAGTCAAAAATGACCACAAACTTAACATTACATATAGGAATAATTTACTCTGTTAGCTCTGGAAGCCAGACTAGAACTCCCCAAGTCTTGTATTGTCTGGGGGCTGCCAGTAGACCTGACGTGTAGTTGTATCCTTCCAGCTTGTGTTGTTCTGGTCACACAACCTCTTCCTGTCTGTGCCACTCTCCCTCTGCCTGACTCTTGTGAGAATGCTGTGCCTCAGTCAGGGCCTATCTGCTGGTCTAGAGTACCCATCCCCACCACATCTGCAGAGGCCCTTTCCCCTGGTTTCCAGGGACCTAGACCTGCAATCTTTGGGAGCCACGACATAAAGGAAGGTTTGGGATAGGGTAGGGATGGACCTTCAAAACAGAGAACCGAGCTTAGGGTGAGACCACAATCTGTGAATTGTGTCTATTCCAGGGAACTGGGCTGGAGAATGGTCTCGGCCATCTGGCCAGAAGCCTGTTTAGTACTCGTGGGGGCCTCAGTTTGTTCCTCCATGACATGGGCATCCTGCTCATACTCCAAGGGTCATCATCTGGTTTGTTGAGGCCATGCACATAAGTAGTTTGGTTACAGTACCCGACAGAGGCTACCCTGGGAAAAGGTTGTTTCTGCTTCTATCCTTGGCTGAGCTGGGCTTGTCTTTGCCCCGTTCCTTGCTCCCGTATCTCACATGGGTCTGAAACTCAGCCTCAGATCTTTGGAGTAAGACTTGCATTGAGAATAAGAGGGGGTGGGATGCCGGGCCGTCGCTCAGTGAGTAAAAGCTCATTCTATGTATACACAAGTACCTGGGTTTCAATCCCCAGCACCTCCATGAAAAGCTGTGTATGATTATGCATGGGAAGGAGGGGGGGCAGAGCCAGGAATATTCTTGGCATTTGTGGACCAGCCACCTTGCCAAAATGGTGAGCCTCCCATTCAGTGAGAGACCCTGTCTCAAAGGAATAAAGTGGAGAGTGATAGAGGGGGGCATCTGACATCCTTTTCAGGCCTCTGTGTATGTACCACACACACACACACACACACACACACACACACACACACACACACACACACACTCTAAAAATAATGAAAACATCAATTGAGATGTGAATTGTAACTGTCTTAAGTTGGCCCAAGTCTCACGGCTGAGTGAGGAGGGAGCTGGGACCTGGGTGCCAGGCATGTACAGAGCGGCTGTAAGTAGGCCTGGCCAGGGGCTCCGCGCTAATGAGCTAGCCTCCAGCCTGCTGAGCACTCCTCTGTGGGGACTGGAACCTCAACAAGCTGCTGTAACACGCCTGCTTTCAGCTCTCATCTTCCCATGGCAACTAGTGAAGGGGCCAGGACAGCAATCTGCAGAGGCGTGGGCGGGTGTCTACAAGAGAAACCTGAAGAACAGCAGCCCGGCTTCCAGCTCAGTGCTCCTCAGCCTGTCACCATCACCCTGGAGCTCCTGAAACACCACACATCCTGTTACCAGATCTGTTCTGAGAGAGGCACAGTCTGCGCCCAAAGCTACAGAGCCACTAATTGGAAGATATGGCAGGGACTGACATCAGGAGCTGCTGATGAGGTGGACTGTTTGTAGGGAGCTGTGTTGGCTTGGGTGGGGAGAGTTTGCATCTCTGGGTAGGATTCACCAAAGGGACCCTGTTGAAACCACAACCAATGCAAAGCCAGTCATCATGAAAAGACGGAGGAAGGATTACCAGGGGATGTCAAGATCATGACAAGGCAACCCACAGAAACGACTAACCTGGACTCATAGGAGCTCACAGACTCTGGACCGATAGCTAGGGAACCTGCATGAGACTGACCTAGGCCCTCTACACATGTGTGGCTTGGTCTATTAGTGGGACTCCTGGCAGTGGGATCAGGGCCTGTCCCTGATGCTTGGGCTGGCTTTTGGGAACCTGTTCCTCATACTTGATCGCCTCGCCCAGCCTTAATACAAAGGAGAAGTTTAGTCCTACCTCAACTCGGTATGCCATGCTTTGTTGATACCCATGGGAGGATTGCCCCTTTCTGAACAGAAACAGAGAAGGAGTGGGTGGATAAGGTGTGGCAGGGGGAGATGGGAAGGGGGCAGGAAGAGAGAAGGGAGGGGAAACTGTGGTAGGGATGTAAAATAAATGAAGAAATTAATTAATAAAAAGAATCCCCAAATATTTAGAGAGTCCTCTTCACAGACCCTGGGAGAAGGACTCAACAAAACCATGTAAAAATGGGGACATCATGGTGGTACCCTCCCTGTGTTGATGGTGGCCAATAGCAAGGCTAGTTTAGGCATTTCCTAATTAGCCTTTGAGTACAAGATAAGCCAGAAAGTTGACAATCATGGTCAGAACAGGCTCAGGACTGGTCTCTGAGTGTTGAGAGAAAGGAAGGGCTCTGGGTGTACTCTATTGGAAGAGTCCAAGGCCCTCATCCTCAGGTCACAAGGGGAAAGAGATAGGTCTACTCTGCCTCCCCCAGCCCACTCATCCTGCTGGTTTTCTGAAAAGGCTTCTCCACTTTCCCTGAAACGTCGTCAAACCCTAGTGGCCGGATAGCTGACACCTTCACGGGTGGGGTGGATACTTTGCGTGTTGATTTTTCCTTTTTAGAGACAGGGTTTCTTGCATAGCCTGGGATGCCTTTGGGCTTGTAAGTTTCCTGCATCTGCCTCCTGAGAGACTAGAGGTGTGCGCCCCTGGCTTTCTTTCCAGAGTTGTGTTACACAGCAACACCCACCTGCCTCACAGCATATGAGTGAGATGCCGCAGGCCTGACTCAATGGGTTGGGAGCCAAATGGATTAGAGACTTGACCCATCTAGCAGGCCTTGGAGTCCAGGCGAGGCTGAGTACATGGGATCTGCAGGGAGGGAGGTTCCACTGCAAGAGTCAGCCCAGAAGACAAACATGTGCCGGACCCACTCTGCCCTAGGCAGGGCCAAGTGTGCTTCTCCCTGTTTAAAGAGGTGCCCAGGGAGGGTGATGGCTCAGGAGGATGCCCGCTGTCCAAGTTCAGTCCCTCAGAACCCATGGGAGGAAACAGCTGGATGTGGGAGTGCGTACTTTTCACTCCAGCTGTGCGTGTATTTGGTTTGGGAGGGAACCGAGAAGGATCTGTGAGGCTTGCTGGCCGGCTGGTCTCGCTGAATCAGCTGGTTTCAGGTTCAGTGAGAGGCCCTGGTTCAAACAAATAAATAAATGCAGAGAAGGAGCTATCGGGGATGATTCACATCATTAACCCCTGTAGCACGAATTCTAATTGGTCTTAATAGTAAAAACCTGGAGTCAGATATCAGGGTAAAGGCTGAAAGATCAGAGAAGTAAAGGAACAAGCCACAGCCACTTCTCACCTCTCCAACTCCCTAGTCCAAAAAAGGGGCCGAGCTCCTGTCTCTACTTCCTGAGTGCTGGGATTAAAGGTGTGTGCCACCGCTGCCTGGCCTCTATGGTTAACTAGTGTCTGGTTCTGCACTCTGATCTCCAGGCAGCTTTATTTGTCACAGCACAAACAAAATGTTGCCACAAACCCCTGCTTCCACACATCCACACACACATGGAAACAAAATAAATAAATCAGCCTCTACATTTTCAGACTGTCCCCAAATGAAGGGATGAACGAGTCTGAGTCTGTAATAATCTGAAACCTGGGCAGGATTTCTGTAAAACTCCGTCTGCTGTTTAATCAGTGCTTATTTCAAGACTTTCACACTAATTGCTCATTAATCTTGGTTTTGGGGCTTGTACAGGTGTCTGCATGAGGGAGTCATCACAGCTGAGGGACACAGCAGCCAGATATGGCCTTAGGGCCCCTCACCTGGCCCCCACGGAGCTGCTGGACAAGGCTCACAGGTCCCAAATTCTGGGTTTTGCCTGCTGCGTGGCAGAGGCTCTGATGAGCTGGGCTGAACGGTTGTGATCTGTGAGGTTAGAACATGGGCTACACATGTTGGTGGAGTGAAGACCCAGCTCCCATCACTCTGCAGACTCTGGATCACTGATCCGACTGGTGCCCTGGTCACTTCAGGGCCACGAGTGGAGGTGACTTGGGGGCCACAGGACCGGCTTCTGATCACAGTTGTACATGTCAGGGGAGGCTGTAGTTTCCACTTCCGGCACTAACGTGTGTGTGTGTGTGTGTGTGTGTGTGTGTGTGTGTGTGTGTGTGTGTGTCTGTATAAATGTGCTCATGAGTATGGACTACAAGTACAGTCATGTACATGTATGTGTTTTTGGGTTTGCTGGTGGTATGTATGTTTGTAATTGTGCGTGCATCTGTTTGTGCATGCACATGCATGTGTGCCCATGTGTGTGTTTTCAAGTGTGCATGCATGCATGGAGGCATGTGTGTGCCTGTGTTTGTGCATGTGCACGTATGTGTGTGCAATGGTGTGTGTGCATGTGTTTGCATATGTGAATACGTAGGCATAGATTAGAATTATGCATAAGTCTCTGCATGAGCTTGTGCACAGGTACGTGTGCATGTGTATGTATTTGCTCACGTGTGTGCACTGGCACCTGTATGTTTCTATGTGCATAGGTGTGTGCACATATGTACATATAAATGCATGTTTCATGTGAATCTGAACATGTGTGCACTAACCTTTGGAAGGTGGGAGCAGGTCGGAGCTGGACTCCCGCAGACTTGGCACCGTGTCTTTCCTGGCTTGTGGCGTCGCGCTCTCTGGCCTGCTGCTCCTGGGAACTCCCTGACATGTCTCCTCCACTGGTATTACTCTCTTCCCCCCTGTCTTTTGCGTTACAGATTTCTTCTTTCTGCTCTTTAAAAACTTCCCTTGTGGTTTCATTAGGGTTTTGAGAGATCAGGGGGAT